CTTACAAATTCAACAGAAAACTATCGTGACTTAAACTTTCCCAACTGAACTTTAGATACTTCTTCTTTTGTTAAATGCATGCAACAAGATTCAAACAAGCTTCAATAGAATATCATTATTTATTTATATAGCTATGAACTGTACTAAAAGTAAAATGGAATAAGAAATTGAGCGCCCCAAGTGAAATTGGAATTCATTACCTTTGATTATAACCTTGAAACATTCTGTTGACCCATACAACCTTCATTAATGTTATGTAATTCGAATAAAATTTTTTAATGGAAAACTCTTGAAATGGAAAAACGATATTTTTCATCAAATTAGGTATTTATTTGAAATATGATTAAAATTGCGAAAAATAACTTTGAATGAATGGAAGATTGCCTTGACAACAAATTGCTTAAAATATGCTTTGGAATTGAAAGTAAGCAGCAGTTGAATTGAAGATGAATTCAACAAATTTTACTTAAGAGCCAAACTATAGGGGTTTGAAAAAAAGTCTTAAACTACTTCTCGTTTTACAACCCAACACCTTCCCACTCTCCACACTTTCAACAAGAGCTTGAAGCTTATGAAATTTTGTATGGAAATTTTGTCTGTCATACAAAATAGATGAAAATCTCGAGTCGACTTCAAGCTCTGCTTTCAACTTCACAGCTTTTTTTGCTCCTCGCAAATCGCATCAATGGGCCCGGAACTGATCAATAAATTTCGATCATATATGATCATATAGTTGATCATATATGATCATTTTGACTAGTTCCGCACCCTTGAATCGCACAAAACAAGTTACCATTACTAGAACAGCGAAAAAGTACCAAAAGCGATTAGTCATTCTCTGGGATCGAACCTGGGTCGTAAGGATTGGTTGGAAAATACTTTAATCACTACGCCACTGATGTTAACAACGTCTTAGCTAAACCACTGACATTTACCATAAGAATATTATTATGTTGTTTATTTTCACACTAATTGCTGTTCATGTCTAGAAAGTAATAAACCCAAAAGAGTATTACTCTCAACTTTTACATGCTATGACTCGACTTCAAGTATTTTGATATTTTTTTAAGCATCACTATGGAAATTTAATTTCAAAAAGATTTGCTGCAAGAATTCCCCAAAGCTTATATTGTGCTGGTGGTGAAACATGTACCCAAAAAAAAGTTAGACAGAACAAATCTCATAAAATATTTCATTTAGTTCTGTTCATGCAAAAAAGAAAGAAAATTTAAAAGCTGTAAAAAATTATAATTAAAAACTGTGAAAAATGTTCCCATAATAGAGACGAGCTTTCAAACACCTTTGTGGTGTTTTTTTTAATTAAATTGTAAAACAAGCTATCTCTTACAGCACTTTTTGCATGCATCAAAGGCACAACTGAATATGAGCATACTGTTTAACCATGAAGATAAAATAAACTTTTTTACTCCTCGTTCGTTCTAGCTTTATTTTTTGGTATTAAAATAGCAAAAAAAAAATATTTTCATTTACCACAAACATACTAAATACGAGCTACAAGCGTCAGTATGAATGCACAAAAAAAAAGCTTTAATAACTTTATTCCCAACTCGTTGTTGCTGTATTATTATTTCGGAAATATGTGAGTGTGTGTAGATTAAAGTTTATGATGATAATATCACTTAATGCAAGAGTTATATGTATTTTGTGAATAAACAACAGGAACCAGCAGGAACTTCTCACAGGAACAGAAAAAAAATATTTATAGTATTTGATATCAACAATTTTTTAAAGCTCTTAATGCCAACATTCATTTAATTTTATGGCATTTGATAGCTTAAAAGCTATTTTTATGTTCAGAAAATGTATGAAACTCCTGATGGCTTGATGCTATATCTTTGTATATGCATGCAGAGTTGTTGATTGAGGTGTTTGAAGCTGGTTTTTCGAAAATGGACACAGATCAAATTTGAAGTTCAGTTTGTATGTCGGTGGTAAAATTGAAGTATTTGGCACAAAATCTCCAAAAATACCAAAGTCCTGTGTCCTTAAATCTACAGATTAAAGTCTAAACAGACATAATAAGTTGTCTTAAAACCACAAAAACAACAACTCTGAATGCAGAATGAAGAACAAGCATGTAGGATAATAGTTCATAGGCAATACAGGATACATAAAAGTGGGATTGAGGATAAAAGTGCTTTTATGTACACAATACACACAAAATGATGAAAACTTGTTAAACTGTAAAGTGTTATGTTATATGCCTCAAATTGTCACATCTGTTGCGATTCAATTATTAAAAATTTATTTAAATTATTTTTTTGCTCATTTTATAAATTTGTCTCCTTCCTCATTTTCCATCTATCCAAGTCGTTTATGATTTTAATTTTGTTCATCACATCATTGCTTATTATTCAAGGCATAGAATGAATTTTCATTTTATATTTTTTTATGCTTCTGCCTTGTATCAAGCGCAAAACAATTACCATAAATTTTCATTAGCACGTGAAAGTGAGGAAAAAGCTTAACATACACACAAAAAAAAGTATGTTTGAAGACATTTTGGAGTGAGTATCGATGTTAAGTAACTCAAATAGCTTTTATCGATTTCTCCCTGCAGTAAAGACACTCGACATAGATAGGGTGACCATCTGCGTAGTTTTACAACGGACAGTCCTGTATTTCAAAACCCTGTCCTGTATAAATTTGAAAACTTTGTTCCAGGTCCTGTATTTTTTTCACGAAAATTTCCGTTAATTTTCGAATTTTACTCTATGTCCTGTATTTTTCGAAAAAATTTCCCAAAAGTCCTGTATTTTCATGAAAATTAGATGGTAGCCCTAGACATAGATGATGAAATAAAAGATACAGAGGAAATTGAGAATAATTTGACTAATATCCTCTTCCTCCTTTTCATACGCTATAACAGTGAAAATAAATTCAATTTGCTCAATAGACTCACATTCAATAACAATTATGAACACTCAATTTCTGCTGAAAATTCCCATCAAAAATCGTTTCAAGCATTTTATGCAAAATAAAACTTTAACAGCGATGTTGAAATGGAAATATTTTCGCGAAAGAATCCTTGTACTTTCCATTCATCCCACGTTATTGTTGAATTAATTCTATTATGTTTCACAATTCGCTGAAAACTGACTCTTTTATTTCTTTTTTTTTTATTCTCTTTGAAACCTTGCAACTGTTACTTTTATGTTGTTGTGAGTTGTTAGAAGGCTTTAGAACTTTCAGAAACAATCGGAAGAAGTTTAAAAAGTATTCTTTTACTAAGTATTTTTAAACATTTTTGATGATGTTGTGGCGAATGAGGATTTGAAGCGCATTATTAAGGAAGTATCTATTGGATCTTCGTTCTAATCAAAAGCAAACTTAAGGCTAACTTAAGATTACATGGATCTACTCTAGTACTTCAGCTAGGTTATGATCATATTTGTTCAATTGTATCAATCATTCCGTGTTCTCAATATTTAATGTTTTATTGGTTCTTTGCTCAAAAACATAGTTTATTTTAAATTCAAATCAAAAACAAAATAGGACCTAAACCAATTAAGGTTATGGCACAAAGAGATAGACTAAACTCTAAACACATGAAGCTTTCTTAAAATTTAAGTGAGATACATAATAAAGGTCTTTGTCTTCAAACCCTTTCAAAATTGGTTTAAAATTGTGGAAAGCTGTATTTATTTAAAAAGATGCTACAAAGATTTATTCAAACATTTCCGAGAAGTTTGTTATTTATGAAAAGTTGTTAATAAAAAGAAGACTGAAGAAGTTATAGAACGTTCTGTTCTAACTTCAAGTTGCTGAATTTAATATAAATCAAGCTATGTAGAATAAACCCTGTATAAACATGTCAACAATAAAGCGTGGTAATATAAGAGGATACAGAATAAATTATTACTTATATGTTGTATTTGGTGATAAAGTTTAGTTCCAATAATAGCTCATTGGTATAAGCATGCGATTAAAAACTGTTGAAACTTAGTTCGAATCTCAATTAAGATCTTAATATTCAGAATGATACTTTTTTCTCTAGTTTGTCGTTTAACAAATCTGATGCAAGCATCTAGATGTTTCAAAACATATACTCAATATGGGTGGAGTGAAGCTGTGACTGTTACTTTAAATCCGCCAAAATCATGACATTTTAATTCAATTCCGTATCTACTTAAGGAACAAACTTAAGGCATTAACTCTAACCACAAACAGATAAACTTTTACATTTGATGTTCCTATGTTACTTCTTGTTCCATTACCTAAAGAATTTAAACTAATTTTGAGCTCTGTGGTTGTCTGACGAAAATTTAATTCCTTTTCTTAATTATTTTGGTTTCTCTTTGTTAAACCAAAGAAAATTGCGAATTAAAATAACTGACATCAAAGGCTGGATATTGTCTAAATCCTAAAGAATATTATTAAACAGCAAAAAGCAAATTTTTATAATCTAGTTGAAATAATGTTAATCGGAAGCCCTGGATGTACGTACTTAAAAATTATATTTATGATAACACAATAAAAATTTTGAAATAAATTAAATTTTAAACTCATTATAACTTCTGTTTTTCTGTATCTTATCAATTATGATACTTGAACTGGCAATACGTAGCTCTTCTTAGTACTAATCTATCAGTAATTTTATAGAACAAATTCTTCAGTTCTCTTCCGACTTGCTTTAGGGGTTGTTCATTTATTACCTAGGGTTTTTTTGGGGATGGGGGAGGGGGGGGGGGGGGGGGGGTTCAGAGACAGAAGTATGATTGATTTTGCCTCTAAAATCCCTAGCAAGTTGAAAAAAAATTAATGAGGTCCTGACAACTCCTTCTCTGACTACGCCCCCTAATCAAGTACAGTCCCCAAAAATTAATAACATAATAAAGATAATGTTTACCGTACGAGGGTTAATAAAATAATAATTTTCACATCAATGTAATCATAAAGCAATTGTGGCTTAATCTTGAGTGCCTCATAATCTTATCTCGATAACAATTTCATTTTAACGTTGTTAATATTGAAAGAAAAAAAAAATAGGCAATTATAACGTCTCAGTTTCATTCCTGCATTGTAAAAGTAAAGAGCGTCGTCATGAAGCATCACATGAGTCGTAAAACGAAAATTGCCACAACAGTCTTTGTAATTTTTGTTATTGGTTTAGGCGTGCTGCTCTGGTATACATATCGTCTAGGGGATACATTTAGCGGCGAGGAAGAAGAAGAGGAGTAAGTTACTATTTTTATGTCAATAAGTGTGGTTAAGGAGTCGTTTTGATAAGTGTAACATCTGGAGTGTCGGATCAGAGTAGAGTTTGTGAGCATCAAGTCATCTTTTGTCAGGATGTGGGCTCAAATCCTACCAGAAACTGGTTTCTCAATCATTACAGAGTGTGTAGCCGATATGACAACGATTCATCGATAAGTGAACATTGAGACAGAAGCTAAAGAAGAATTATTGAACCCACTTCAATCTTAAAGTCCAATGCTCCGTCATTTCATATAAAATTTTATTGCGCGTCCACGCCAGAAGGGTGTATCCTAAACAAACTTTCTTGCACAGCATAAAGTTCAACTAATTTTAATTGTTTTCTGACCGCAGGTACTTAGCAACTGGTGCAATTGTAACAAATGTCGAAGAATGTACGTATATAGCTAGGTCAATATTAAAATTGGATGGATCCGCTGTCGATGCTGCTATTGCTGTGACATTTTGCTATGGAGTTGCACAGCCGCAAGCTAGTGGAATTGGTGGGGGATTTTTAGCAACAATTTTTATTAAAGGTCGTAAGAAAATTGAGACATTAAATGCACGAGAAGTCGCACCATTAAAAATATCAGAAGACATGTACAAAGAGAACCTAAATTCAAGTTTTGAAGGTGGATTGAGTATTGCCGTACCGACGGAAGTAAAAGGATTATGGGAACTTCATCAAAAGTATGGAAAATTGTCATGGAAGACGCTTATCAAGCCGTCAATCGACCTTGCAGAGAAAGGTTTTACAGTGCCTTCTTATCTAGCGAAAGTATTAATAGCACGTGAAGAGAAGATAAGAAGCATTAAATTATTCAGGTAAGCGTAAATCCTTATCTTATCAAAAGTCAATGAATGAGTAGCAATTAATGATAAATTTCAAAATAATTGCAGAGATTTGTACATAAACCCGGCGACAAATACAATTTATCATGAAGGTGAAAAGATGACGAACCCAAAATTAGCAGAGACATTAAAAATAATTGCCGAAGAAGGTGTCGATGCTATATATAGTGAAAAAGGATCATTAGGTCATAAATTAGTTGAAGAAATTCAGGCAAACGGTGGAGTTGTGTCAATGGATGATTTCACAAGTTACAATCCAAAATGGGGCAGTTCCGTTTCAACAAAATTATTTAATGGCGATACATTGCACACGACTCCAATTCCATCATCCGGATGCTTAATACCATTCATCCTAAATATCCTCGAAGGATATAAATTGTATGAAAATTCTTTAAAATATCACGATGAGAATAAATTAATTTACCATCGGATTGTGGAAGCTTTCAAATTTGCCTTTGGCGAGAGGACTAAATTGGGTGATGTTTTAAATGCTGACGTTGTTGAAGCGGTCCGTGAGCTTCAAAATGTTGATTATGCAAACCGCATTATTACATTTATTAATGATGAGCACACATTTAATGACACATCGTACTATGGCGTAAAGGGTCCAGTTACTGCTGATTATGGCACGGCTCATGTGTCCATTTTAGCGACAAACGGTGATGCTATATCTTTGACTACTACAATTAATGTTATGTAGGTATACGCATATGCTGATGAATTTTACTTGGAAAGGCAAAAGAGAAGTTTAGATATTTTGTGTCATTTTTTATCAATTGGTTCTTATTGCTATGGAATTTAAAGTTGTCATGGTTGCAAATTGTGCGTGGTTGTTGCAGCGACTTTGAGTGGGAACTTGACACTAAATCCATACTTCACTGATTCCACACTAGTGTTATTTGCCTTTGTGCTATTAGGGCTCTTAAAAAAGCATGTTTAGAAGTTTAAGCAGCATTGCTTGCTGTTCTCAAAAGCAGAACAAAGTTTGGCATATACAACAACACCATTTCGATAATATTTTGCTCGAGATAAGCTGTTTTATAAATCAGAAAGGAACATTAATCATCTTTCTTCGTTCTGTAGTGTTCCCCTTTCTCACAACGTTCTCAAAAGGATTCCTTTGTCACTAAAACTTTTCATCGCAATAAGTGTTGATAAAAAGTTCCCATAAAATTTTTACCCTAACCCTTCTTAATACTTAAAGAATATTTTAATATTTTCCAATCGATTTTAATATTTTGTCACTCTTTTAATAGCTTTGGGTCATGGATTATATCAGAAAGTACAGGCATTGTCTACAACAACGAAATCGATGATTTTTCAATTCCTTCAGCATCAGATGGCTTATTAGAGTCTATAGCAAACTCAATTCAACCTGCAAAGAGCCCAATGTCATCTATGGCACCAATTATTGTACTTAATGAAAATCATGAAGTAACGTTAGCTGTTGGTGGATCGGGTAGGAAGGAAGTCTCATTTAACATTTGATGATTGCTATTTCAAATCAATTTATTTTCATGCTTAGGTGGCATTCTCATTATAACATCATTGGTGCTTTTTTTGGTCAATTTCCTTCAGCTCAATCAAACGATGGAATCTGCTCTTGCCTTTAAACGATTCCATCATCAACTTGAACCGATGTATGTGCGTTTAGAGGACGGATATGATCGACCGGATATAGTTTCATACCTGCATGAAAAAGGTCATGAAACCAAAACATCCTCCCCCATAGTATCTGCATTCGCATCAGTTATTGCGATATCAAATCAAAATGGAAAGGTTGAGACAGCTGTTGACCCAAGGAGAGGAGGAGGAAAAGGCGTGTTAATTGAGCCGTAATTTAAGTTAATTTTGTTGTATTTTTAAGGAAATAAATTTAGAATACCTTGATAAGTGCTAATTTACTGTTTTTGAGATATTTTTGGGCATGATTACAATAACAACGAGCTGGAGTTGATGAAAATGAATCTTGAAGGTATTTGGATGTTTAAAAATAAATTTTGGCGTCAAATTTCAACAATAGATGAAGTCTGACGCATTCTGAAACTCTATAAGATTCCTACAACATCATCCATATTTTGATAATCTTCGTGATATCTACAAAGTGTAGTAATTGCACAGCGATGTTCTGCAAGTGACCCAACAACATAGATAGTTGAATATCATACCTCAACCTTAAACTTAATATTCATTTTGATAATAAATTATTCAATAGGAAAATATTTTCTCGAATAAATTAAAATCGTTTTTTTCCATCCATTCTGAGACAAAGAATAGAACAAGAAGAAAAGATTTTAATCAAAATGCTTGATGAAAGAATAAGAAAGAAAATTTATGAGCCATTTCTTACGTTCCACTTTGTTTCGTTCATTTTGAAATATTTTAAAATGAAAAACTTCACAAAAAATGACATAAAAGAATTCTTTTGTTTGCTCATTCTTGGAATGCATTCTTAAATTTTCTAGGAGATTCTTTGGTGTGATTGACAGCAGTACGTTGACCAAAGAAAATTAATTGACGAAAAATGACTGGAAATGTATTGAATTAAACTAATCTTTAGGAAAACTAGAAAGGTCTATCATGCTGTTCCCTCCTCGACTGAAATCACGTTCAAAAAACACGACTTACCTAGAAAGCCACGAACTTCCACGCTTGATTTACGTTAGATAACATATAAGTTGGCAAATTTTTCCGTATAAAGTGTATAGCTATAGAAAGGGGAGTGGACGAGCTGTGCGGATCGGATTGAAGTGGAAATTTGAGACCAAAAGGATCAAAAAATTTTTTTCGATATCCATCATCCGTAGCTACTCAAAAAAAACGAAAATCAACCCTAGTGCCTCACGCTATGGTTAGTTTTGGACGAAACTCCGCATATATATTCAAATTCGTTCAGCACAATGATGTATGCAACCTATCGAGTTAGATCTTGTAAAATACAATACTTGGGAATTTTGAAGATAGAAATGATATTTGTGTCTGACGGTTTAATCCACGACTCAACAACTAGAAAAATCTAAGGTAGATGAAGGATTGCAGATTGCTGGGCGAATTTTGAAGAGACTGGATATTCAAGTAAAGACACTTTAGATTACTGCTAGGGGATAAATCCTACTCGGTTTACAATCAGTGTTATTTTATAATTGTAATATTCAGAGTCTAAGTCTTGTAAAAAGTTAATTGGGTATCAATAACATGAAATCGTGAGAATTTACAACGAAAGAAGGAAGACAAGCATCTTACATTGTGATTTAATAACTGATCCTGATTCGATTCTTGATTCGAGATGGACTAGATACTGAAAATAAATACAAAATGAGACCAGCAGTACTTCCGACAACAATAACTGAAAAATAATTAAGTTCCGTTTAAATTCTTTAAGGAGTTTTAATGTTTGACTAAGTTTATTCTCTTTATAAATGGTCACGTTATAAGGAATAAAACAAAAATTGGAAACCAGCCAATTTTGATAGCTTCCGTACTGTTCATTTGACGTCTTTGTATTGAGTTCATGGACTTTTCTAGGATTGTCATATTTTTATCTTCACGATTTTACCATTCCTCTTCTTTTTGTGGCTTTCTTGAATGTTGATGACTCCAATTTCTTCTTCTGTTCCTCAATAAACTCTTTCATTAGAGTTGCTTCTAATTTTTTCATCTTGATTTCCTGCAATTTCTTCTCATCCACAACTTCTGAACACACAGAATTTGTAATTTACTCTGAAACAATCGAGTTAATGCCAAACTTCTGTAAAACTTCCTTTCAGCTTCATTCAAATGAGCAAAAATTCGTCAAACCAAAAATTGATGAAAAATAAAAATAAATCAGCAACCAATGAAAAAATTTTCTTCAATCTGAAATTTCTTGAAAAGCAACACGTTATCAAAACGAAAATTTTACATAGAAATTTCAACGGAAAATTAAAGCATAAATCAACTGAACAGGAACAATCAAAGGATCAAGCAGCAACAAAATCGACAGAAGCAATTGCGATGTCATCAAAAATGTCAAACGAAGACCGAAAGGAAGAAGGAAGCAACAAAATGACAATTGCAGGATCAAATGAAGGATCAGAGGTTCAAGTAGCAGCAATTGATTCAACAGAAGCAATTGTGATGTCATCAGAAATGTCAAACGAAGACCGAAAGGAAGAAGTAGGCAACAAAGTGACAATGGCACGATCAAATGAAGCTTCAGAGGTTCAATCAGCAGCAGCAGTAGCAACACAAGAAGCTGAAATCTCAAAGGAAGAAGTAGATGATGTAGCAGAGGAAGGAGGAGAGGAAATAGCGATGGTTCAATCAGCTACAACTGAATCAACAGAAGAAGCGGATATGTCGAAGGAAGTAGTAGTGGAAGTTGAGGAAGCAATTGAGAAACCATCAGAATCAACTGATCCGACCAACGATGGAGACAACTATGAGCCAAAATTTAAAAAACATCCGCAAGATTACCTCACTCCAGGATCAACAATGCCAACCATGAGCGAAGATCTACCATATGATCCTACTGTTGAGGTATGTAACTTTCGTCAAAGACCAAATCATCCAGTGCGAGAAATATTTAAGAAACAGAATAGATTTTTCAATTAATATTCTTTTTTTGTCTTTCAGTATAAGAAGCAGAAGCTTACCGACCTGTATCGCGGTTTCATGACTTACTATGCTGACGAATCGGACGAGTTAAAAACGAAATTCGTGCATTACTTGAAATTGAGAGACAGCAAAAAATTTCGACGGCTAATTAAGGATTTCAAAATAAGAAATCCAGTTCTTTGTGAGCGTCTCGAAGAATATGACACGTGGGAGAAACTATGGAAGTTGACTGTAAGTCATCACTTTTATATATATTTTTTTTTCTGTGATTTTATTGTTGTGAATCTCACACAATGTAGGATTCTGCTCCAGCTGAATTGGAATACACATTCTGGCTTATGCTCGAACATTTTGAAAAAAGTTCACTTGACATCAAACGAGAGCTTTTGACGTACATGAAGCTGTGGAAGAAATATGATGGTCGTCGATGTTTGGATTCGCAAGTGACAAAGTTCTTTTCAAAAGCCACATATTTGGAACATGAGCTAATGGAATATACAGTGATGGCGAACATTAGCATGAAAAAGGTAAGGAGTTTTTTTTTAATAATTTAAGCTTTTTGACATGCCTTGCTTCAAAGTTCGAGTTCACAATTGATCAGGGTGGGGATTTAAATCATAAATCAAAATCAAAATCATTTTGCAATGATTTGAAAAATGATTTTTGATTTAAATCATTTTGTATGAAAGATTTATTTTTGATTAATGATTTAAATCACATTGTATGGGGATTTTTTTTTGGGATTTTAAATCACTTGAAGGTGAAAATTTGTTTGGGAATTTTCAGAAGATTATCAGAAAACATTAATCATTAATCATGGATATCCTTTCTGGCTTTTGGATATTGTAGTATGCAGATGTTGCAATGGCTCTAAATGATAAAGTATGAATGGATCTAGTATCATATGAGGAACTAGTCACTTCCAGTCCCTTTAAAGCATTTTTTGATAAGTTTTCATTGTCAAAGAGGTATAAGTTTGTATTTCTTAGCCAAAGGTATGATTAGACACTGCAACTGCCCAGTTCCTTTACATCCAAAAAACATTTTTTGTTTCTTTTTAATCAAGAAATCACATCCTAGAACAAAAAAATTTTTTGAGGAACCGACCGGTTTCTTTATTGCCTGAAGACTAAAATTGTTAAATATTAAGTCATTAAAGAATTAAGCACTTTTTCTGAGCATTTTCAGTCTTCAGGCACTAAAGGAACCGGTCGGTTCCTCAAAAAATTTTTTTGTTCCAGGATGTGATTTCTTGATTAAAAAGAAACAAAAAATGTTTTTTGGATGTAAAGGAACTGGGCAGTTGCAGTGTCTAATCATACCTTTGGCTAAGAAATACAAACTTATACCTCTTTGACAATGAAAACTTATCAAAAAATGCTTTAAAGGGACTGGAAGTGACTAGTTCCTCATATGATACTAGATCCATTCATACTTTATCATTTAGAGCCATTGCAACATCTGCATACTACAATATCCAAAAGCCAGAAAGGATATCCATGATTAATGATTAATGTTTTCTGATAATCTTCTGCAAATTCCCAAACAAATTTTCACCTTCAAGTGATTTAAAATCCCAAAAAAATCCCCATACAATGTGATTTAAATCATTAATGACAAATAAATCTTTCATACAAAATGATTTAAATCATAAATCAAAAATAAATTTTCATACAAAATGATTTAAATCAAAAATCATTTTTCAAATTATTCTTCATTGAGATTTAAATCAAAAATCACAATTTGATTTTTGATTTTGATTTAAATCGCAAAAAACTCCCCCACCCTACAATTGATACCTTAAAAAAATGAATTATGCGAATAGCAATTCACCACATTGCAAGCCAGTTTTTTCATTAATCGATCTAATAATAATTTTTATTTCGCTTTTTTCAGTATGTAAACTCCAATGAAAGATGTCCAAAACTTCCACTTCCAGTTTATGTTCGAGTTTCAAAAGGTACCGTAAAGAAGGGTCTAATGTCGTCTGTAATAAGGTCTGTACAATCTTGGTTTTGTTGTGGTATTAATGGGTACTAGGAGAGTGCCAAAAGCTGAGGGTGTTAAAAGGAGGGTAGTTGGTAGGGTGTAGGGGTGTGAGGAGTTAGTAGTTTGGGTTGTGGTTAGAGGTGTGAGGGGGTAGGGGTGCGAGGGGGTTGGGGTGTAAGGGGGTAGGGATGTGAGGGGGTAGGGGTTGGAGTGATTGTGTGAGGGGAGAGGGGTTGGGGTGATTGTGTGAATGGTGATTGGGTGAGGGGTGATTCTGTGGGTCCGGCGAGAAGAGCCTAATCAAATCTATCTGGGAGTGGCGCTCCAGTGACGCCAAGGGAAGGGTTTGGGTCATTGGGTTATCGCGTGAGGTGTGATTGGGTGAAGGGTGATTTGGTGAGGGGTGATTGGGTGGGTCCGGCGAGAAGAGCCTAATCAAATCTATCTGGGAGTGGCGCTCCAGTGACGCCAAGGGAAGGGTTTGGGTCATTGGGTTATCGCGTGAGGTGTGATTGGGTGAAGGGTGATTTGGTGAGGGGTGATTGGGTGGGTCCGGCGAGAAGAGCCTAATCAAATCTATCTGGGAGTGGCGCTCCAGTGACGCCAAGGGAAGGATTTGGGTCTTTGGGTGATTGCGTGAGGGGTGATTGGGTGATTGGGGAGGGGCAATTGGTAGTTGCGTTAACGTAAGGGGATTTTTCTTTTTTAAAATCTGGACATGAATGAATTACAATGGCGCGTTCGAGTTTTTTATACAATTTTTATCGAACGAGGCTTATCCTCTATAAAAAGGGCTTTGAACTTTTTAGGAATAACTTAAGAGGGGGTTGAGGGTGGGCTGTCCAAAAAAAAACATTCCTGTCAATCCGTCCGTTCGTTTTATCCTGTTTACTAATCCTTCTTTTTCAGCTCACATACTTAACTTTGTATTTGGTGAAATTTTCCAATTCATTCACAACAAATACTTCCGGGCCGCTAAGAGACATAAAAAGATCTTTGCCCAATAAAGCCTGAACGTGAGCTCTCTATTCATGACTCCAAGCCATGCCTTACGGTGTTACAGCTTGTTCTTGTTGGTTTGGAGGGGACGTAAAGGCCAGTGGTATTGAAATTGGTTGACTCACGGCGGCATTGATCTTTATAGAGGCGCTTCCAGATGGGTCGCACACCCTTAATGATAGATGCATCACGGCATTTAATGTAACCCGGTGATGTGTTTAACTTACAGTTTTTGTCATAGTTGGTAAAACTTGGCTATCCTGTAAGTTGCAACTAAGTCGTCTAACGAAAGTTGTTTGATTTAAGAAGGAGCGTATCACTGAGGAATTCGACCAAAAATTGATCATTAACCAGGGACTCGTTCTGTTGACCTTCGCGAGGTGAGTCCTGTGATCTTTTCTATTTCGGTAGAAAAGAGGCCGACAAACAGAAGTTGTGATTTGGATTGGATAATTTTGGAGTTTCTGAGCAGGGACCAGAATGAATGAAAAAAATCTGTGATGAAAAACATCACTTCATCATCATTTTTTGCTTTACGTGATGAAATCCTACGTAAAAATGATTCTTACGTGATGAAAGTTTACGTAATAATTTACGTAAATGAAAAAAAATCACAATTTTTTTCATCATCAAAAATAATGATGTTTTTCATCACAGATTTTTTTCATTCATTTTGGTCCCTGTTTCTGAGTTTCAATTTTTGAAATTCGAACTTTTCGTGTTTCAATTTTTGGAATTTGAATTTTTTGTGTTTCTATTTTTGGATCTCGAATTTTTCGTGTTTCAATTTTTGGAATTTGAATTTCTCGTGTTTCAATTTTTGGATCTCGAATTTTTCGTGTTTCAATTTTTGGAATTTGAATTTCTCGTGTTTCAATTTTTGGATCTCGAATTTTTCGTGTTTCAATTTTTGGAATTTGAATTTCTCGTGTTTCAATTTTTGGATCTCGAATTTTTCGTGTTTCAATTTTTGGAATTTGAATTTCTCGTGTTTCAATTTTTGGATCTCGAATTTTTCGTGTTTCAATTTTTGGAATTTGAATTTCTCGTGTTTCAAATTTTGGATCTCGAATTTTTCGTGTTTCAATTTTTGGAATTTGAATTTCTCGTGTTTCAATTTTTGGATCTCGAATTTTTCGTGTTTCAATCTTTAAATCTTGAATTTTTCGTGTTTAAATTTTTGGAATTTGAATTTTACGTGTTTCTATTTTTGGATCTCGAATTTTTCGTGTTTCAATTTTTGGATCTCGAATTTTTCGTGTTTCAATTTTTGGAATTCAAATTTTTCGTGTTTTAATTTTTGGAATTTGAATTTCTCGTGTTTCAATTTTTGGATCTCGAATTTTTCGTGTTTTAATTTTTGGAATTTGAATTTCTCGTGTTTCTATTTTTGGATCTCGAATTTTTCGTGTTTCAATTTTTGGAATTTGAATTTCTCGTGTTTCAATTTTTGGATCTCGAATTTTTCGTGTTTCAATTTTTGGAATTTGAATTTCTCGTGTTTCAAATTTTGGATCTCGAATTTTTCGTGTTTCAATTTTTGGAATTTGAATTTCTCGTGTTTCAATTTTTGGATCTCGAATTTTTCGTGTTTCAATCTTTAAATCTTGAATTTTTCGTGTTTAAATTTTTGGAATTTGAATTTTACGTGTTTCTATTTTTGGATCTCGAATTTTTCGTGTTTCAATTTTTGGATCTCGAATTTTTCGTGTTTCAATTTTTGGAATTCAAATTTTTCGTGTTTTAATTTTTGGAATTTGAATTTCTCGTGTTTCAATTTTTGGATCTCGAATTTTTCGTGTTTCAATTTTTGGAATTTGAATTTTTCGTGTTTCTATTTTTGGATCTCGAATTTTTCGTGTTTCAATCTTTAAATCTTTAAATCGTGTTTCAATTTTTGGATCTCGAATTTTTCGTGTTTCAATTTTTGAAATTTGAATTTTTCGTGTTTTAATTTTTTGAATTTGAATTTTTCGTGTTTCAATTTTTGGAACTCAAATTTTTAATGTTTCAATTTTCGGAATTCGAATTTTTCGTGTTTCAATTTATATAGAAAGATGCTCATATCCGCTCATATGATTTTTGAGTAAAGAACGAATTAGATTTATTAAAATTTTCAAAGTAGAAACAATCAAAAGTAAAAATTATAAGGAAAAAAAAAATAAGTGTCAGAATGAATTGTTCATCACCATAATCCTTAATTGCCATACATAGCTTTCAAGAACAAATCGCTGTCACGTAGACCAGAATCAGCACGCCCAACAGAATTCGGATTAATAACATTCATCAACAGTTCTGGATAATCGATTTCATATAATAATCCCAGAACCTTAAGTTGTTCTGTCTTTGGATACTTTACATTTGCACTCATTAGTGCCAAAGCTCCTAAATGTTTCCAATTTCCCACATTCACTTCTTTTATTGTTGGATCCAAGAGCTTAGCAAAATAATAATTGTCTCCAAATCTTTCCTTCAATTTTTGCTTGACAGTTAGGAAGTAATGAATTTCCTTAATGATCTTCTTATGGCAGTGAGCTTTTGTTTTTTCAGGCATGCAAACAAACTCATCAATTATGATAAACAAAATCATTTCAAGTGGAATCAGAATCTTTAGCAAGTAGTCATGAATTGGCTGATTATCCAATTCTCTAACGGTTAAAACAGCACATGACAAAATCATTGACTTTAATCTTGGTAATTTGCTGAAATATTTTGCCAAGTGCTGCATTGTCAATGTGTCAACATATTGAGCATCCTGATTAGCTGGCAAGGAATCATACATTGATTTAATGACCAGATATCTCTTCTTTCGAGCATTTACAGCACTTTGAATATCATTCAAAGGTTTAAAGATTGATAATATGATCATGAATGCAATGAACTTTTTTTCAGCCTCAGTTCTTTTCTTTGCAATGAATCCACAAAAGTAAATTTTACCCCACTTGGCATTGAAATTGCAGTTGTCATCAATAACTCTCATTTCTTCGTCTGGATTTTGTAAATACAGTTCATATTTAGTCCAAAAGCCTTCAAAGATTGACTCAATCAATGCAAGTGCGATGGCAAGTCCTGGATCATTCTTAATTGAGTACGGAACTTTTTCATGTGTGAATTTGGTAACAGCAGTCATTAACAAAGCAGCATCAGGTAAATACTGTATCGGAGCTGGAATCAGTTCAACATTTAGATTCTGTAATGCTGATTCTGGTTTCAAATGTTTAAACATTCCTTTTGAATGTCCTTCGTTTATAGCACAGTCTGCAACCATAATATTTGTTGGAGTCAAATAGCATGTTAATTTAGGCAATAATTGACCATTTCGCTCAATTGTCAAAAGTCTTGTCATAATTTTATTTTGAGGATTATTGTTACGACATTTTTGAATCATCAGGTTTGTGAAGAAACGAGAATAATTGAAATCAATTGTATGATTCGATTCATCGCTTTCATAAATCTTCTTGACAATAGTCTTAAAGTCATCCATTTTTGATTGTGCAGCACTTGATGAAAAGCTTAATGTTTAGAAAACGAAATTTTATACTCAAAGATTAAATTTAACTAAAATTAATAATCGTACCCTCGAGTTCCTCTATTTATTTTTGGAAATGTGCATTCACGATTCAGAATAGAACAATATGTAATATGGTCTGATGATTAAATATCTAAAGCTAGAACTAAGCACGTCCACTTTTTAATGAGTTTTGCTCTCAATTGTTCGATAACTGTACGCATTACAAGCTTGATTATATAATCCGAAGTCCAACCCATTTTGCCAGACTTCGATACTGATCAGAGCAAATCCGAACGACGAATGCCATAAACTATTGAGCATACATAAGATATTAATTATTTGGAGACCGTCGCTTAAGCGAATGCTGCCGACTCTGATATTGAGTATGACTTTACTTTTGAAAATAAAATTTGGGAAATAATGTTATTGCTTACCTCCCCCAACCTTAAATAATTCACTAATTAGTCGATAATCGACGTCTGAATAAACTTTGAAACCGCTTGAAAGAATGTACTTTGTGATAAAAAAAAAAGGTGTAGCTATCAAGTTATAATAAACATTTCTCTTCCAATTTCCTGAATCATACATTATCAATCATTACATTGATTATAATTCTTTACTAAGACATCATTAATTCATTAGAATTTGTATAGAAGTAAAGAGATTTCTGATAGTGTCAATAAGTCTATTAAATAACCAGCAGTATAATAAACAAAGAATAGAACAAGAAGAAAAGATTTTAATCAAAATGCTTGATGAAAGAATAAGAAAGAAAATTTATGAGCCATTTCTTACGTTCCACTTTGTTTTGTTCATTTTGAAATATTTTTAAAATGAAAAACTTCACAAAAAATGACATAAAAGAATTCTTTTGTTTGCTCATTCTTGGAATGCATTCTTAAATTTTCTAGGAGATTCTTTGGTGTGATTGACAGCAGTGAGTATGGATATTGGGCAGCAGTACGTTGACCAAAGTAAATTAATTGACGAAAAATGACTGGAAATGTATTGAATTAAACTAATCTTTAAGAAAACTAGAAAGTTCTATCATGCTGTTCCCTCCTCGACTGAAATCACGTTCAAAACCACGACTTACCTAGAAAACCACGAACTTCCACGCTTGATTTACGTTAGATAACATATATGTAAGTTGGCAAATTTTTCCGTATAAAGTGTATAGCTATAGAATGGGGAGTGGACGAGCTGTGCGGATCGGATTGAAGTGGAAATTTGAGACCAAAAGGATCAAAAAATTTTTTTCGATATCCATCATCCGTAGCTACTCAAAAACATCGAAAATCAACCCTAGTGCCTCATGCTATGGTTAGTTTTGGACGAAACTCCGCATATATATTCAAATTCGTTCAGCACAATGATGAATGCAACCCATCGAGTTAGATCTTGTAAAATACAATACTTGGGAATTTTGAAGATAGAAATGATATTTGTGTCTGATGGCTTAATCCACGACTCAACAACTAGAAAAATCTAAGATAGATGAAGGATTGCAGATTGTTGGGCGAATTTTGAAGAGACTGGATATTTAAGTAAAGACAGTTTAGGTTACTGCAAGGGGATAAATCCTACTCGGTTTACAATCAGTGTTATTTTATAATTGTTATATTCAGAGTCAGAGTCTTGTAAAAAGTTAATTGGGTATCAATAACATGAAATCGTGAGAATTTAAAACGAAAGAAGGAAGACAAGCATCTTACATTATGTTTTAATAGCTGATCCTGATTCGATTCTTGATTCGAGATGGACTAGATACTGAAAATAAATACAAAATGAGACCAGCAAAACTTCCGTTTAAATTCTTTAAGGAGTATTAAAGTTTGACTAAGTTTATTCTTTTTATAAATGGGCACGTTATAAGGAATAAAACAAAAATTGGAACCAATTGGAATTTTGTATATTCAGCCTTTTTTTCAGCCAATTTTGGTAGCTTCCGTACTGTTCATTTGACGTCTTTGTATCGAGTTCATGGAGTTTTCTAATGTTGCCATATTTTTATCTTCACGATTTTACCATTCCTCTTCTTTTTTGTGGCTTTCTTGAATGTTGATGACTCCAATTTCTTCTTCTGTTCCTCAATAAACTCTTTCTTTAGAGTTGCTTCTAATTTTTTCATCTTGATTTCCTGCTATTTCTTCTCATCCACAACTTTCATAACAGAACATACAGAATTTGTAAACAATCGAGTTAATGCCAAACTTCTGTAAAACTTCCTTTCAGCTTCATTCAAATGAGCAAAAATTCGTCAAACCAAAAATTGATGAAAAATAAAAATAAATCAGCAACCAATGAAAAAATTTTCTTCAATCTGAAATTTCTTGAAAAGCAACACGTTATCAAAACGAAAATTTTACATAGAAATTTCAACGGAAAATTAAAGCATAAATCAACTGAACAGGAACAATCAAAGGATCAAGCAGCAACAAAATCGACAGAAGCAATTGCGATGTCATCAAAAATGTCAAACGAAGACCGAAAGGAAGAAGGAAGCAACAAAATGACAATTGCAGGATCAAATGAAGGATCAGAGGTTCAAGTAGCAGCAATTGATTCAACAGAAGCAATTGTGATGTCATCAGAAATGTCAAACGAAGACCGAAAGGAAGAAGTAGGCAACAAAGTGACAATGGCACGATCAAATGAAGCTTCAGAGGTTCAATCAGCAGCAGCAGTAGCAACACAAGAAGCTGAAATCTCAAAGGAAGAAGTAGATGATGTAGCAGAGGAAGGAGGAGAGGAAATAGCGATGGTTCAATCAGCTACAACTGAATCAACAGAAGAAGCGGATATGTCGAAGGAAGTAGTAGTGGAAGTTGAGGAAGCAATTGAGAAACCATCAGAATCAACTGATCCGACCAACGATGGAGACAACTATGAGCCAAAATTTAAAAAACATCCGCAAGATTACCTCACTCCAGGATCAACAATGCCAACCATGAGCGAAGATCTACCATATGATCCTACTGTTGAGGTATGTAACTTTCGTCAAAGACCAAATCATCCAGTGCGAGAAATATTTAAGAAACAGAATAGATTTTTCAATTAATATTCTTTTTTTGTCTTTCAGTATAAGAAGCAGAAGCTTACCGACCTGTATCGCGGTTTCATGACTTACTATGCTGACGAATCGGACGAGTTAAAAACGAAATTCGTGCATTACTTGAAATTGAGAGACAGCAAAAAATTTCGACGGCTAATTAAGGATTTCAAAATAAGAAATCCAGTTCTTTGTGAGCGTCTCGAAGAATATGACACGTGGGAGAAACTATGGAAGTTGACTGTAAGTCATCACTTTTATATATATTTTTTTTTCTGTGATTTTATTGTTGTGAATCTCACACAATGTAGGATTCTGCTCCAGCTGAATTGGAATACACATTCTGGCTTATGCTCGAACATTTTGAAAAAAGTTCACTTGACATCAAACGAGAGCTTTTGACGTACATGAAGCTGTGGAAGAAATATGATGGTCGTCGATGTTTGGATTCGCAAGTGACAAAGTTCTTTTCAAAAGCCACATATTTGGAACATGAGCTAATGGAATATACAGTGATGGCGAACATTAGCATGAAAAAGGTAAGGAGTTTTTTTTTAATAATTTAAGCTTTTTGACATGCCTTGCTTCAAAGTTCGAGTTCACAATTGATCAGGGTGGGGATTTAAATCATAAATCAAAATCAAAATCATTTTGCAATGATTTGAAAAATGATTTTTGATTTAAATCATTTTGTATGAAAGATTTATTTTTGATTAATGATTTAAATCACATTGTATGGGGATTTTTTTTTGGGATTTTAAATCACTTGAAGGTGAAAATTTGTTTGGGAATTTTCAGAAGATTATCAGAAAACATTAATCATTAATCATGGATATCCTTTCTGGCTTTTGGATATTGTAGTATGCAGATGTTGCAATGGCTCTAAATGATAAAGTATGAATGGATCTAGTATCATATGAGGAACTAGTCACTTCCAGTCCCTTTAAAGCATTTTTTGATAAGTTTTCATTGTCAAAGAGGTATAAGTTTGTATTTCTTAGCCAAAGGTATGATTAGACACTGCAACTGCCCAGTTCCTTTACATCCAAAAAACATTTTTTGTTTCTTTTTAATCAAGAAATCACATCCTGGAACAAAAAAATTTTTTGAGGAACCGACCGGTTTCTTTATTGCCTGAAGACTAAAATTGTTAAATATTAAGTCATTAAAGAATTAAGCACTTTTTCTGAGCATTTTCAGTCTTCAGGCACTAAAGGAACCGGTCGGTTCCTCAAAAAATTTTTTTGTTCCAGGATGTGATTTCTTGATTAAAAAGAAACAAAAAATGTTTTTTGGATGTAAAGGAACTGGGCAGTTGCAGTGTCTAATCATACCTTTGGCTAAGAAATACAAACTTATACCTCTTTGACAATGAAAACTTATCAAAAAATGCTTTAAAGGGACTGGAAGTGACTAGTTCCTCATATGATACTAGATCCATTCATACTTTATCATTTAGAGCCATTGCAACATCTGCATACTACAATATCCAAAAGCCAGAAAGGATATCCATGATTAATGATTAATGTTTTCTGATAATCTTCTGCAAATTCCCAAACAAATTTTCACCTTCAAGTGATTTAAAATCCCAAAAAAATCCCCATACAATGTGATTTAAATCATTAATGACAAATAAATCTTTCATACAAAATGATTTAAATCATAAATCAAAAATAAATTTTCATACAAAATGATTTAAATCAAAAATCATTTTTCAAATTATTCTTCATTGAGATTTAAATCAAAAATCACAATTTGATTTTTGATTTTGATTTAAATCGCAAAAAACTCCCCCACCCTACAATTGATACCTTAAAAAAATGAATTATGCGAATAGCAATTCACCACATTGCAAGCCAGTTTTTTCATTAATCGATCTAATAATAATTTTTATTTCGCTTTTTTCAGTATGTAAACTCCAATGAAAGATGTCCAAAACTTCCACTTCCAGTTTATGTTCGAGTTTCAAAAGGTACCGTAAAGAAGGGTCTAATGTCGTCTGTAATAAGGTCTGTACAATCTTGGTTTTGTTGTGGTATTAATGGGTACTAGGAGAGTGCCAAAAGCTGAGGGTGTTAAAAGGAGGGTAGTTGGTAGGGTGTAGGGGTGTGAGGAGTTAGTAGTTTGGGTTGTGGTTAGAGGTGTGAGGGGGTAGGGGTGCGAGGGGGTTGGGGTGTAA